TCATAAAATTTTAGGGCTTTCTCTTGTAAAATTGGTTCTCTGTGCTGCCAGAACCCCAAATAAAGTGCCTTGCCTACTTTTTCGTATTCTCCACCTTTCATAAATTTTCTTTCTTTTAAACTATCTGTAGATGCTCTTTTCGCACACCAAGACTATTTCAGACCTCTTCATTTCCACGCTATCAAAGTATTCTGTTCAATGCTTAAATCCATGGTAATTTTGTTTACACTTTCCCCTTTGTCGAGTCTCTTTAAGGCATCTAGTTTCATTTCCATTGCCATTAGTTTGCCATCTTTTTGTATGACATTTACACTTCACAGAATATCAAAGTTCCCCAAAATATGTTAACACTTAAACGCCTGGATGTGCACTGAGGAATGATACCCACAATGAACTGCTGTGAGTTTAGTTTGCAGTAAGATACATGTCAGAAAACTTCAGGCAAGTCTTCTAAGGATTCACTACAACAGAAAGGAATGTGAGCCAGCAGCTACCTGACTTTCTTCGTTTCCACGAAAGAAGCAAACTGCACTGCCAAGTATTACAATGTATCTTGAAATTTGTTATGCAGTTAAAAGAATTAATGGCACAATGCAAAAACGGCAAAAATTACAAAGAACACTCAAATCTTTGAACAGAACAGGAAAGACATACACATAAATAATAATTATATTTACTCTATATAATATTTGCTTTGTCCGGCTAGAGATATCTTAAAAAAGTTCCTAAAAATTTGTCAAGTTATACGGAATGACGAGGTATTGGGAGTCAAGCCTGTGGAACTCTACTGTATTCTACTGAGAAAGACAACTCCATCAACCTCACATCGTGTACTATCGTTAGTGACTTAAGAAATTGCCAACTTTGGTGGCATGGACCACCCTGGCTTTTACAGTTTTCAGAGCTCTCTGGTAATGCAGACAATACTGAATAAGAACATCTGGAATACACAGAAAAAAAATTTTTGCCAGTGCCAAAATAAATGTATCATAAGAAAAGGATAATTATCTGACATTTCCAAGTACAGCAGTCTTATGAAAATATTCAAAATAACTGCTTGGATTAAATGCTTTACTTTGGAAACTTACAAACTTAACAGATATTCCCTCAGCTGAGGAACTTGCAGAAAAATATTGGATCCGAAGAACTTAAAGAGTAGTCTATAATTCAGAGATTTCTACATTACAAACTGATAAAAAAAAATATCTAAGAAGTCTCCATATTTTCCTTTCCTCCTTTTTTAGACTATAAAAGAATCTTGTGCCTTGCAGAAAGATTACAATTTTTTTGCTTTCACTGTTGAAAGAAAAACATCCTAACCTCTAACTTTGAAATAGTGAAGTTACAGCCACTTTTACCAGCTTTAAAAAATGCACCACTTCCTTGCACGGAATATTAAATTTTATGCATTTTTCTTGCATTTCATTTAAACTTATTGAATTGAATTAAATCTACTTCATCGATAGCACATAAACCCAATAAATAAATGCCTCTTTAAAATTCATATATTTGTTAAACAGTGACCGTATGGCACTAGCTCACTTAATAGATTATTCTTCATTTATATCAGAATGCATATATTATTAATTTTAAGAGTTACATATCGTTCCAACATGTTCTATTCAAATACTACATAATATTAAAACGATGTATAAAGAAATTAAGACATAAAAAGAAAGTTTTTTCACAGACGATTCAGTATTCCTCATCAATTAATTCAAGTTCTCACTTCCCGACATGGCAAACATACTAAATTCAAAATATCTATATAAAAATTACGAAGCAATCTTATATTATTTCTCGAAGAAATTCCAGAACGGATTAACATGTTTATTCACAATAATAAAAGAAGGCGTTATCTTTGTTGTTGAGAAGCTTAGTTTCTCTATATTGGCTACAAATCTGCTATTCTGCAGTCTCAAATGTAAACAAACATGGACACCATCGCAAAAATAATTAGGCTTAGCCGCACTTAAACAACTTTTAAATTGTTGATACCTACAAATATGCATGCAGCTTACTAAAGGCATTACCCTAACTGGAAGATAAGAACAACATAATTCAATCATTTTTAAGGCAAAAAATTCACAATATACAAAACATATAGATCACCGAGCCCGATAACAAGAGTGGATATATGTATACATTAAAAGAAATATATATGATGTGGCCAATTGTAACCAAAATACGAGGTGCATATCCACATGTTATAGTAGTATAATACAAATTTCCATTTGAGGCTACTCGTTTTTGAGTTATGCGAGATACGTACTTACAGACGCCATGGAAAATTCTCTTCAAAATTCATTTTAAATCAGTTTTATTTTTTTGGGGGAGAAGGCGTTGGATATTTTCGTTGAAATATGATGCCTAACACTTTACGTGATTACAATACTTCCTTTTACTTCGTACAAGGAAATAAAAATACTGAATATCACAAGGCTGACAGCTTCCAAAGAAAATTTGACAAAACTGTCTTAACATCAGCAAGATTTTTCTCTTATCATTTGGCATTGCTGTTTTGAACATCCTGTTCATAAATATACAATCTTATGATCACAAACCAAATTTCAATTATTATATTTAATATGTTAAACAATTCTTTCAATTTTTAATGGTAGTTGCAAGGTGCCACTGAAATTTTAACTAAAATTTTTTTCTTACATTAAAAATGTACTTAGAAATCTCTCCAAATTTTTTTATGCTGTTTTGTTACGTTATGCCACCATATTATTTACAAGGAGGACTCAAAGAATTCCAATCTCAAGTATGATGTTGCACAAAAAATGATACGTACTGAAATGTTTGCATCATCCCATAAAAGCATAATAAAAAGGAAGCAGGATAACACATCTTATTTGATTTTTATAAGGCTATTAAATTTTGTCATTCAGTTAAATCTTAATATCAAAAACATCAAAAATTGCTCAGTGATTGAGTTCTTGACCACAGGATGCAAAGCACAAATAAATACAGTAAGACCCCGCTTAACGCTGTTTCGGTTTAGCGCTCTTTTATTTCAACCCGGGGATTCTCCGAAATTGTGCGCAGCGCTAGGTTTCCAAAAACCTATCCGAAACAGTGTATTGTTTTATGCTTGGTGGATGCATTTTTATCATTGAAATTTGTGACATATGTAAGTTAAATTTTTATAATACTAAACGATTAACAGTGACAAATATTCTGATCTTATTTTTATCATGGTGAAATAAAAAACAAGAAAAAAACAACCAGAAAAGCATTTCACTGGAAACTCAAATGCAAGTGATTAGAAGATTGATTCGGGAACGTATCCAAATTATGCTGCATGATTTGGGAACTTCAACAATAAGGACAATTCTTAAGAATAAAGAAAAAATACTGTCATCGCAACTGCAACTACGTCAAGATCTGCAACAAATTACCCGTTCTAGAATAACATTATGAGAAATGAAAAAGACGTCTAATATGATGACGACGAAATTGACGCAATATGCCTAAGCCATTATCATAATCCTTCTTACAAAAAGGAAAATTGGAAACCAAATAGCTGAATGATTGATGAGATTTTATTGTTTTTAAAAGTATAGCATTATATTGTTTTTTTATTTTGTCAAGAAATAAATGTTTGATTTTATTATTAAAAAACATTATAAATTTATGCCTAACCATTTTTTATTCGTCTTCCCCTAACCCCATTATTTACATGTTAAGATAGCCTCGCTTAGCGCTGTTTCGCATTACGCTCTACTTTGATCTTTGATGGAACGTATCCCCCGCGTTAAGCGGGGTCTTACTGTATTCCTGAATAAACAGTTGCAATCTATAGAAAGTTCATTTTCCCATACTGCCATCAAAAGATTGGACTTCCATATGTAGAAAGAGGAAAGCATCATTTGAAGACCATCTCACCATAGACTCAGCATGGATATAATCAATGAAATTAATAGTTATAAATGTGATCAAAAACAGAAAACTGAGTTTCCCAGATTATGCAGGAATGAAACAAGAATGCACTGTGTGGAATTGTGGATTATCCCAATTCTACTACACAATATCATTACAACATGTTTATTATGCCAACTTGTTGACTATAAATAAAATAAAGTTAGAACAATGGCACCAACTCAACAGCAAATCATTTTTGTCTGATAATGTTTCAGCACAGAAAACTATTCAGAAGCCTGGATTCAGCATGTCTATCATTTATCAAACCCAGCCCCAACTGACTTTTATTCCCAACACTGATGTTATTCAGGAATGACTTAAAGGTTAAAAAGAAAAAAATTTTTTTTTTTTTTTTTGCTGAGTACAGAATCAACCGAAATTACGTTGAAACCTGAGAAGTAATTCTAGCCAAAGATCTACAAGCATGGCTAGGCTTAAAACTTACTGAGCCCCTCCCCATTTCATCTATAGGCAGATTCACTGCATTCCAAAAATCTAGATTCTTACACTTTAAACACCCTGGCACACACAGTTAGTTTTTAGATGGTTGTCAGTAATAAGATTTCTTTCAAATTAAAAAAAATATATATATGTTTTGGTAACTAAAATCTTTCATTTTGTTAATATATCTAATTGATAATTATGAATATTTGTAATATTACTGATATCAGTAAAAGAATGTTTAACACCAAATATTTCCTCCTCTTTTTAAAGGAATGAAACTTAATATTTGTTCATTATATAATATATATAGTACAACAATTCTATTGGATAAATACTGCACAATGATATAATATTTTTCAGCAAAATCCTAATTTTTTTAAAAAATTTATTCAGCTACTGTATTTAAATCAACTAATGTATATTAGCTGGTGGTTAATAACAAAAATACAAGTTAATATATGATGAATTTTGTGGTTGTGATATCAAAATACTGAATATGATTTTTAAACGATTTACTTAAAATGTATGAGAGAAATATGGATAGCAAACTTTACATACAAATAACCAATTCTTATCATGATATTATTCATTTGAAGCAAGAAAAGAAAATAGGCACTAACATACACATATCCCCTGATCTCCATTTAAAGTTTTATTTCAATATTGCAAAACAGACAAACAACACACAAAGTCATGATCTTTTTAAATGACAAATGTACAAGAACACTGAGGGCAGTAAAAAAATTTTATGATTTCCTTCAAATATTTTCCAAGAGTTCTTTAGAGTTAGGTGGCAACAGTATCACTTGCACAAACTATAAATATCTCTTTTCCTTACCTCAATGATTTCAAGGTACAAAAATACCACATAATGTAAAATATTTCATAATTTTTCAGCCAGTGTTTTGTACAATGGAATAAATTTTACAGTTTTCATGGATGACAATGCTAAAAAAACTACCACGAAATTAATTACATTATTACAAGGTTATCAACTTATGCATAGTCCTGTTGAACATCCACGTGAATAAAAATAATCTGTTTGGGTGAATAAAATCAGCATATGTTTTTGGCAGCTGCTTCATTCAATATTAAAATTAAAAGCCATAACATCTGGTCCACTGGTGTTTCCTTGTGCATTAACAGCATGGCTCGAGAGTTCAAGAAAACATTCATTTCATGTATAATAATGAGATATACAAATGAGTACAAAATGAATATCAAGTATAGGCAGATTATCTTTTCTAGTCCAATGAATTATGAACAAAAAATGATATGGAAGAAACTCAGCACGAGACAGTAGTTTTGATGTCTTGTTAAATAAAATGGTAGAGTCAATGAAACGAAAGTAAGGGCACGTAGCAGATGTTATGATTGTAATTTTTATGAAACAGGAGTGAACTCTGTTTCATATTTTGAACTGGCTGTTATTTGCTATACATGCAGATGCTTGTAAAGGTACAAGATGCTTCAAGTTTTTTCTCGCACCTGTATTTTGTACCGATTGTAACAAGTGTATGGAGATTTTGTAGGATTGTCCACTCTAATGCAAACTGTCGGTACACTGTCCTCGGTAAGTCCTAACAACCAGTTCCGGCAGAGTTTCTCTTGTTCCTCATCAACATTTTCTTTCAACCATCGCTTGTGCCAATCTCGAAAACGTTTATTTAACTTTTCTGACACTTTTTGATGAGACTGCAATATAAAATGATGAGAATGAGAAAACAGAAATAGTAAAATAAGTATACTTCATTACACATAATTTCAGCAATATAGTCAATTCCTGATTAACAAAGCAATATATATAATATATATATCTATATATATAAATACTGCCATAAACCATCAGTGTAAAACTAAACTATTAAAAGAAAACATAAAAATGAAAGAAAATACTAGGATAACTGCAGTGAGAATAAATGATGTAGAAATCAGGAAATCTTTTTATTCACAATTGCAAGTAATTTAAACATACATAATATAAAGTATAGAAATGTTAATAATCCAAAAATCTTGACCTACTTCTTCATACATGTTTGGGCTCCATGGCACTATTCAAGTTCTAGCTTAAATATAGTTTTTCAGTGTTATTTATAACTCAGTTCCTTGATTTATTTCTAATGACTTTAAAAAAAAAAAAACTTGCATAGTGTTCTATTTCTTTTAAACACAAATGTAGTTTACAAAACCAAAAATTCTTAAAAAAAAAATTTTTTTACAGAAAGATGGCAGATGTTAATATTATTTATGAGAAAATCAATACTTGCAATTATGAAAAAAATCATTAAAATCTGCTATAGACATATTTTTACTTTAACTGGAAATCAAATTAAATAACATTTAAAACCATTTAGCATGCCTGAATAAAATAAGCCCTCATCTTACTAAAAAAAAAGAATTAATGTTAATTCACATATCAAACGGGGAGCAATGTATTTAACTAACCGTCTCTCGTTCATCAGTAATGCTACCATGTTCAATTTATACATAATACTTTGCTTTAAGTATACATATATCTATACTAATAGTCTCAAAATTGTGATACATTTTCAGATATTTTAGTTTTAAATACTGGATGACAGTAAGACATGTTTTGAGCATATTCTTCCTTAAATTTGAAATAACTGTACTGTTTCAAATGAAAGGAAGCATTAACCCCCCCCAAAAAAAAACACATATAGAAATATTATATATTAAAGAACTCATAAGATATAGTATTACTAATAAGCGAAATAAAAACAGTTTTTTGAATACAGCAAATTAACCATCAAAAATCAGTGGTCATAAAACAACCATTAACTGGTTTAATTTTAATGTTATAACTATCACAATTATGCATATAAACAGTGTCAGAATAACCAAAATGTAACACAGAGACAAAGCTAATAAATGATGCAGCTTGGAAAATGACATTAAAGAGCTTTCTCAATATACATCTAAAAAATCTATGTATACATCACTATATACATCTAAAAAACACATGAAAATCAATATAACAAAATATACTTATATAAATTGTAAATTTGATCAGAATGAATTCATTTTTGTCACAGGACTAGAGTATCATTCGTAACTGAAACTTGCTGGTTTCATGCATAGTTATCTAAGTCTACTTAAATGTAAAGCTTGTATGACCTACCACCAGTTCATTTAGACTAGGAATTCTTAAAAATTAAATAAATAAAATAAAAATACTGTCTTTACTTGATATTCCTGCACGCTTTAATTTATAAACTGAAGTCAGATACGTAAATGAGGGATGCCTCATTTATTATCATCTTCAGACAGGACATGTTTACTAATTTTAATAATTAATTAATGATTTGAAAGACTCTTGAAATATAAGACCTTTAGTGACTATGATTTGCATGATCCCAAAAAATCAGTCTCTGATAAATGCAAGAGAAAGCTCTACAATTCTGGAAGTAGCATTCCAAGCTACTTTAAAACACTATTTTTAGAGAAATCATGAAGTGATGTAACAAAGTGAATAATTCCTGATGAAGGTGGCAGAATTTGCAAAAGAATGAAAGCAGATGTAGTGATAACCCCTCTCACACATTCTGAAAAGCCCTCGGAGAACAAATTCTCATGCCTATATGAAATAAAGAATCTGCAATTGCCAGAACAGCATCAAGTTATGAAAGCAAGAGATAGAATCACACTGCATATTTCTGTCACAAGTTCAATACTAAAAGGGTTAAAATTTAGTTACCTGCTGAGCTTTCGTAAGACATTTTTTCTTGTACAAGCAATTTTCACTGTCCATTATCCAAGTCATCTTATAAGAGTTCAAATTAAATCGACAGCCAAAATTATGAGACGAAGATTCTGCATTTTCTGCCAATTTATTTTGTCTTGTCCTTTCTAAATATTTAGCTTTGGCATTTAGACCCACTAAACCTTTTACAGCTTCACCTGCACCACCATCTTCAAGACGACTTAAGTCTATTTTACTCGAATCTATTTCGTCTTGTATACTGCGAAGCGCCATTTCATTTTCTTGAGCTGTTTGAGCAGATTCTTTTTCTTCATGCACACTTTTCGTATGATTCCACCAGCTGTTTACTTGCCTAAAACAAAGAAAACATTCCAGATATAGGATTTAAGAAAACAGAATACATTTCCTTAGAAATTTTTATACAATATAGTTTTCCATTTAATACTGTTTTAAGTTGCATGCAAACTGATATGGAATTGTTTAATACTGTAAAACTAGCACTGTTAATTGGAAATAACATGATCAAGTGACCTGTTCGGTATAAAGGTCAGCGATTCTCACATCAACAACACTGAATGGCCCAAGTTTGAATTCCAGAGAAGGTACATTTACTTATAAATATGTAGTGTCTTAGTAACATGGGGGCATTATTGTGTTGCAGCATTAAGCGAGTAGGAAGTCTCGAGAATTTAATAGTACAGAAAGAGGAATCTCAGATTCATCCCTTCAGGGTATTATTCTTTATCAAACTTGGCATGGTGTTGGATGAACACACACACACACACACACACACACACACAAAAAAAAAAAAAAAAAAAAAAAACACCATTTTATAGGTGACAAGCTACCATATATCGTCTCCTATAATGTGCCCAAGACCTTGGCCAATAACTTTTTCTCTTAGCCATGAAGAATTTATAGATATAATCTAGATTCTGTTCAGACCAGGAAGATAAGACACATACACATGATAAAATATTTGGTGACTTTCTAAAGATACACACAAGATCTAGTTAATAAGGATCAAATCTTATAGCTTTTGATTTCCCCTTCATTGCTGTCAACAAAAAGTATAATTATTTTCAAATGGTCAATCAACTGTTTAAGTCTTTATCATGTTTATTTTAATGTAAGGTTAATTTATTAAATCTTCAGCATCGTTTCTTTTAGTGTTTATAATATAAGCTGTGTAAATAAAATTTTAAGTAACATTAGCTATATGACATGGACAAGTTCAGGAATTATTAAATACATAGATTAAACTAGTTCCCAATTACAATAATTAAGCAGCATTAAACTTTTAAAAGTAAAAACAAATTATATCTTAAGTCAATTAAGATTCTGCAAATGCATCCAAAATCCAATTATATGTTTAACAGAAACAGGTAATATGTTCCAGAAACAGCAAATAAAAAATAACTTTAAAAAGTAAAAATGTATAGTTTGTGGAATTAACCAATGGTGGTGGCGGGGGGGGGCACATGAACAAACGGTGAAATCTACTTATTACAGGTCAAGTGCTGTCAAAGTATTCACACATGCAATATTAAATTGCATAATATATTAAGAGAACTATAAAAGGCAACTCAAGGTTTCCGATGTAGTAAATAAAAAGGCCAATTAAAAAAAGGTAAATGCTCGAAAAATAGTCACAAGAATGCAAAACCAAGTATGAGAGGTATCTGTACTTAGAAAAGACATTCTAGGGAACCCCAACTAAAATTCAATAAACAAAGCCCTATTAAATGTATGCATAAGAACATATTATCTGGACTACTAGGTCTGACGAAGGAAAAATTTTTCCTATCTCGTTCATTTGCAGTTTTGCAGCTGAGGATGGTGGTTCGGTAAAACCACCGAGACTAGTCCTGGGAAAATTTTGAAAATGTAACGCTGATTTTTGTTGTTTGACGTGTTATTGTGTCATGAATATTGTTGTTATTGATTCAGAACTTTGAGTACTATGGTTGACTATAAAAGAGACCATGTGCATCTTACTGTGATACACTTCCTTTTTTACTTTCAAAATACTTTCAAAAACATGCAGCTAAAATTTTGTTTTAACTGTAACAATTCGAGAGGTTTTTGAAAAATCTTGCAATAATTAGACTAATTCTGTTTTAAGACTGAAATAGATAACTCTACTGTTACTTTTCAGAAACTTCTTAAGTCATTATCGTATTGGCAGGCTTTTATCAGAATTATATTCGCTTCAATTACGGCAAAACATACTGTTAAAAAAATTTCTTGCTGAACTATCTCCATCACGTGATTCACACACGTGCGTCCTGATGAAATTGGATTGACATTTTTTAAACTAGTAATGAACGATATGTATACCTGACAACATCTCTTATCTCTTATGTGTATATACTAGAAGTAATGTGCAATGTGAAATTAAAATATGTTTTGTTGTTTAAAATGAGGGCCTTCTGTTTGCATTAAAGTACTATACACTCTATACACTCTTTAAATTAATAAAGCATTTCCATCATTGTTTGTAATGGAAAGAAGAATGATCTCCTGACTAGCCAATATTATGACCTTTATTCTTGATCAGAAGATAATGACCTTTTGAACACTTTGTACAGATTTTATCACAGCAAAAGATGGTTTTGCAAAATGCTAATAGGTAACCACAATATAATACACATTACCCCTATCTACCAGAAGCAAGAATTTACTTTTTATCCATGTTAAAAAATAAAGAATGAAACCTAAGCAATGAACAAAACATATCATTTATTATCCCTATCCTATGTTTTTCTTTTTGGGGGGAGGGGGGTCTTAAACCAGTTGCCCTACATCAATCATCTGCAAAATCCAGTTTTATGTAAATTATACATTAATCTAAACTCCTATTTCAGATCACTTTTACATTTTAATTTTTTATTCTAACTAGATATAGATCCAATATATACACTGCTAGTTTCACAGAAATTTTGTGACATGAAGAAACCAATACTACATTATCATAAACAAAAATCGGCCAATATTCAAAGGTATTTAAACAATTTAACAATCTATGCAAATCATGATCATCAAAACATATCTCAAAAATACCTAATATCTATCTAAATAAATATCTGACACACAACATGCTTCATATAATTTACCATCTGATTCACTGACACTTTTCAGAAGGAAAAACCCTTAAAACAGAGAACACAATCACAACAAATTTGCATCGTTGATAATCAGGTTTTCACTCGAGTTTCTTAGTCAAAAGTTTATTCATTTCAGAATTCAAACCTCATACATCACTTTGCCATTAAATGTGCTTTGATTTGCTTATCAAAATTGCAAATGTATCTTTATGGTGACAAATATAGAATCTAAAATACATATTTCATAAACTATTGCAGGAAACAAGATCTTTGAATAGGTGAATCGGCATGATAAACCTTACTGCAGAACAGCACTCAAGGAATGTTTTTAAGCTGTTGAAGATAAAAAAAACAATAATGGTCACCATCTTTAAATTTTTAAACAAGAAAGAAGACCGATACATAAATTTAACAGAATTTTCTAAAGATAAATGAAATACAAAAAACAAGAAGCTTCCAGATTTCTGCGCTGCGTAAAAGTGCTATTCTGGAAGAACACCAAATTGATTTAAATTCACTGTATAATGCATGAACCAAGATATTTATGATACAATTCTGATATATTTATTAACATTTTTTAAGATAACGTAAATTTTATGCTTTTTGGCCAAGTTTGCCTTGTTACCTTCTTACACTTTCATACTGCAAAAATGAAAAGCGATACTTGTATTTATCAAAGTACCTTTAAATATGAATAAAACAGAATTTATCCTTAGTGTGCTGCACATTTTTGTATCATTGCTTACCAGCAACTCCAGCATATTTATGCAGCCCAGCATCTAAGAAGTCTTATTTTGAGTGGAAAGAATAACACGTACAAGTGAATTTTTTTTGATTTATTTACTTTATAAATATATATATTCTTCTTGAAACAAATATTATAATTCACCATTGTTTAAGTAGCTTTGAAATCAATCCCCTATACGTATTCTGGGTTTACTTGGGCAAGTGTCAGAGTACTCACTAGTTTGACGTCTGCCATCCTTTTCTTGCCTTTTTGAACACATAACGCAGTCCCTTTTTCTACCTTTCCTGATTATACGTAGTTTTTCATTTAATTTTCACTCAGAAACTGAAGCAAAAACTCTTGCTCTTTTCTGTAAAATTTTCCAATATCCCAAATGCATCAATGCTTTCTCATTTTTATTGTGCTGTGCAATTTTATAAAGAATATATAATATATTAACATTTTTAACTATAAAAAGGTCATAAAATAAGTTAACCTCAATATTAGTGACTCGGCATATTTTAAACTACAAATAAGAATTAAACGCCGAGAATACAGCATCTTCACCATAATCATGTTAAAAACATCTGGCTCTGCAGCGGAGCCACCAAAGTTACTGATCAAATGGGAGATGTCTTTGTACCACAGCTAATGGAGCACCAAGGGTTAAATACAAATATTTTACTGATTAAACACTATCTGAAGCTTCATTAAAAAAACTTACAAAAGTCTACAGTAGAATATGACAATTCAGATCAATTTAAATTTAATAAAAAAAAATCATTCTGAAAATAAATGAGGGTTGAAGGAATGAAATTTGCACAGTTTCATTAGTTCAATAAATTTCATTTATTGCTGGAAATCACTTTTTTTCCCAGTAAAGGGGGGGGGAGAGAAGAAGATTTGGTGATCTGCTGGGAAACCAAGAGATGTGATAAAAAACGGGGACCAAATGGTCTTTATCATAGCAGATATGATAAGGGTAATTTTTTATATGCATACCTTTCTTGCTATGGAGTTGAAATAAAGTAAAAGAATATATATTTCTCCAAGGTTACAAGGCTACAGCTCAAGGGAGAACATGGATATTAAGAAATTTCTTGGTGTACAAGAAATACTGCAAATTTAGAAAAATCATTCAGGGTTTTAGAACTAAGTTTCAGAACTGTCTCATGAACAACTGGCTCGTCCCAGCTCTCGGAGCTGCATGACACTGAATGAGCTTCTGGAAGTTTTAGGAAAACTCGGTCACAGGACTTCAAAAATACATTTTCCCAAACATTCCACAGAGTTTCAAAGTAGGTGAGAAATCACCAAATATCATCATGATCCTTTGAAGCATTTTTTGCATGCTTCTTGCAATCTAGTAGTTATTTTTATAATTATGATGAACTCTGAATTGAACAAACTATGATTTTCTTCAAGAACTACATACTTATATACAAAACATGTGGCCACAAATTCAATTACAAACAAAATAAGTCTTGAAAAGATTATTCTAAGAGTAATACACAACAGCAGAACAATATATTTCCCCCAAAAAGGAATCAGATGAACTCAAAATATTTACATAAATTTACAAGAATTATTATAGAGCTTTTTACACTACTTCTAAAAGCTAATTTCAGTTTATTATTGTACAGAATCATTGCTTTTTGAAAAAATAGTCAACAACAACAAAAGAGGACCATTTATTTAGAGTTTTTATCAAAGTTCAAAACAGCAGCCTAATTGTTGATACCTCCTCAATAATTTTGCCTATCATCAATACCCAATACTTTGATATGCCAGCAATGGTTTATGAAATAACACTTTTTCAGATTTGTGAATCCTATTTATTTATTTTTAAACACTTATAAACATTTAAGCTTACCTTGGAAGGAAAATTGGATTCTTTGTTAGCTGTTCTTTCACTAAGTTGGCAAGTGATTCTTCAGAAGTATATTTTCTTACAAAAACATTCCATTTATTACCAGCACTCTGATCTTCTGATGCATCTGAATCTGTGTCTAACATCTCAATAGTAAGTTTGCCTTCTTCTTTGTACTGAAATAAAATATATAAATATAATTCAAACAATAACAAGACATAATTAATGAGAGGTTTTCTCAATATACTTACCACAATAATCTTAAACAAATTATCATTCTCATCTCTTAATGGCTCTGCTTTCCGTTGGTATGCAAGTTCAGCTGCGGCACGATGAGATGCAGTTGCACAAGGACCTCCTGTCGCTTTATTTTTTGCTTCTTCAAGAAACAGAGAAGTCAAATGTGTGCAGGAATCATCTGCAACTACGTGCTGCAACTAATAAATAAAGAGAAAATGTAATTTTGTAAAAACCTGAATGTATAAAAAAAACTTGGATCTAATTTTATATTTTAATTTGCATATTATTCTGTTGAGCATAAAGCTAAGCAACCCAATTAGTAGTGTGACGTAGCAACACACTTGAAACATTTTAACTTTCATTTGATGTAATCTTGACTAATTTTCAATAAAGCCAGCCATTCTGTTTTTAAGAATAAAGATATAACTGTTATTTCTTTGCATTTGGAGGGGGGAATTGAAATTTGCGACCTACGTTCTACAGAATAGCAAGGAGTGGATTAATTTCCAAGTTATGGCATTCTACTGTCAAATATGTGTATTAATGGATGCAGTACGGTACTTTATTTAAAAACATAAATTATGGTGATGCAATGTTTGTGACTACACTCCAGTTTATTTACAGCTGGTCGAGAGAAGTTACATCCATTTAATGGAGAAGGTACAGCTGGATATGTAACAGTAATATATTGGAGCTAACAACAATTAATGTACATTTATCTCTGGGGGGGGGAGTTATCTGACAAAAATATCATTTTAGTGACAACGGAGATACAATTAAGTTCCCAAATTAACTACTCAGTTAAAGCAAAGTAATGTCTAATTTTGTTCTGAAAATATTTACAATATATAATGCCAGTCTATTTTTCATTGGGAGACTGAATGTATTAGTACAGCAATATAATCAAACCATTAGGAAACCAATATTTTGATTTAAAATAACACTCTTTTTTGTGTGTTTTAGTCTCAAGGCAAATGCTACTGAATTATTCCATAACATTCCTGCGATAAACAAAGAAAAACAAATATTTTGCTTTTTGGAAAAAATTATGAAAATTTTAATTTGAAAGTGAGAAGAGAAGACAGTAATTTACCATGTAACAAAGAAGGGGGAAAACCACTTACCTGCCTCACTACATTCTGGATAACTTTGTCAAGGGTGAAACCAAGATAAGCGTGAATTCCAAACATCTCTCGTAAATTATCTTCATATAGACTGCTTTCAATGTTGTTATCCAATAAATTCTTTACCATATCCAGAAAAGCAGGATAGTATGATTTTACATCAATATTGTCTGAAAAAAAAAAAAAAAAATACATGTGCATACAAAATTGTTATTATGTTTACTTATGGTTATTAGATACAAGTCTGCAAATATGTAAGACGAAATTATTAAAAAACTTACTCCGAGGTCGAAGCCTAAGTGCCACAGCAGTTGAAACTGCCCTGTCTGCTTTGTCTTTCATTTCTTCAGCTATCAAAATTTGCGAGCGCTCGTATATCTTCCACAATCGCTCGCATAGTATATGATGAAGACGAAAAAATATGTACCAATGATTATTTCCAAACAGAAGTGTATATGATTCATCCTTAAAAGAAAAGGTAAAATATATCTTGATGCGGATAGCTATATTCATGAGTATATTATTATATATATAAAAAAACAGCAATATCTTTGCCATATGAACATTTTGAATTATTACATTATCTTTGCATATTAATTAAAAAGGACTAACAAACCAATAAATTTATTTCTAACTAGGCACCCATTAAAAAAATGCAAGATTGTGGTTATTTATCCTATTTAATCTTGAGATACTCTACTCAGATCAGTGTTCATAAAGACAATAGGAACAAAGAGCCAGTTGTCGACCAAGGCTACTTCACAGATGACAGTAAAACTTTCTGAATGCTAAATCAATTTGGGTTGAGAACAAAACCCACAGGTATCTTGCTATTATTTATGGACCACCAATCTCTGGAGAGGACTTTTAGATTGGCATTAAGCCTCCAGGTCATAAAGGTGCTCTACAATTACAATCCATGGATCCTTCAGGATTCAAACCTGCAATCAATGATATGATAGCTGGCTCCACTAAGCATCATACAAGATTAATTTCCACTACATTTTAATGAGTCTTGACCCTTGGCATGTGTTGCTCAGCTACATGTGTTTTCACCTTTTGCCTATTATTATTATTTTGATTAGTAGCATGTTTGTGTGTGAACTTGTTAATTTCTTTGTGTTAAATTTTTTAAAGGCATGCATGAGCACAGCTTAGAAGGAACTCTGGCTTCAGCATTACGTAAGGTGAATCACAATTTGAGCAAAAAAGTTTTGTTTTAATAATACATAAGCCTTAAAGAATGGATTTTATCTTCTAATTGTTTCCTTCTCTTTTCCTGGGAAACAAAACTTTTCCTTTTAAACATTTCTCTTCCTGGAAAACACACCTTTTACAGCCTCCACCCACATGTCATATCCAGGAAGTACAATGAATTTATGACAGTGGGTATATTTTCCATTCCTTAATGTCCTAAACTTGGCCACCCTGATCGTGAGCACTTTTTGTTATTTGTACAAAGCCTTATGTTTATTCTCATATTATTATCAGATCGATTGATGGAGAAGTTTTTTCCTGTTGCATTCACCTTGCACTCGTAATAACTCATTTGCCGTTTTGGAGGATTTTTCCGGGAATGTGAACAAACGAAGCATGGTCGTCTCATTTTCTTATCAGTCTCTTCTGAAAAAAGTTTGAAAATGTCTTTCAGTTAATCTTTCAGAATCAATATCAGAATTTCAGAATCAATATCTGAAATATTTTGCATCATTTCTGCTATTTCATGCTCTGTTAAACATTTTCGACGCTTCGACATTCAACGGTAAACAGAAAGAATCACTCTAACAAGATCTAATATTTTCTAAACACTGAACTGTAAACCGAACACTCAACGCTTTAGCGCATAAAAAACTTTACTTACATAAAAAACACACATGCGATAAAAAAGTGCGATTAAGAGACGTCATAAATCACGCCATTCGGAAACATTTAGTTCCCCGTTGTTTTTATTATAATCAAAAACACGGTATGTGAGTCATGCTTTTCTTTTTTCGAGTAGAAGGTCTACTGTACATGTATCTGAAAACCATATGGACATACAGTGCCATCTTGGGCAGAATTATGTTGAAAAACGTTCCAAGTTACTGGCACAAATATGTGACAGTCGGTAGTAAACGCAACAATGCTCTGGCACGCCTGCGTGTCGGCCGGTAGATAAGTGTGTTCGTTGCTGGCACAGTCGGCGCGAAGCGGTTAAGTGAATTTTAATTGCTCTTCATTAAGTACATAATTTGATTTAAAGATTTTCATATTAATATCTTTATGGCATAATAAACCAAAATCAATGGACACACTAACATATACATATTTCACATGTTTCCATACAAGTAATTCATAAATTAGGGGAAAATACTCACAGGAAGGGAGTTATTATAATTTGATTTAAAGCTTTTCATATTAATATCTTTATGGCATAATAATCCAAAATCAATAGACACATTAACATATACATATTTCATATGTTTCCATACAAATAATTCATAAATTATGACATAATTATCCAAAATCAATGGACACACTAACATATACATATTTCACGTTTCCATACAAGTAATTCATAAATTAGGGGAAAATACTCACAGGAAGGGAGTTATCCATTGTACTGCTTTGGGCACAACTCGTAAATGTTCTGTCTGAGGTTTTTTCATCCTGAGGTGGCGAAATTCTTCCACTATTTGAAGTTTCCCGATTAAATCCATTATTTGTACAACCAAGGTTTAAAGATAATAAATCCCTATACACACTCAATTTTGGGCTCTCATTACCATCTTCAGTTTCCATATCTAAATCAATTTTAAAAATTATTAAAGGACAATTAATAATTAAACATTTTTCAGCTATATAAAATTTTAAATCACTAAGAAATGAAAATTGTCTTAAATTAACCCCCAAAAAATGTAAGTGGAAACCTACTTAAAACAGTATTCTAATTTATCACACATTACACTCTATAACAACAACAAAAAAAAAAAAAAAAAAAAAAAAAAAAAAAAAATGACACAACAAGAAGGAGTTGTCTGATGGAGAGAAAAATTGGTGGACATGAAGATCATGTACAGAATAGAAAATGATTAAAATTTCAGAATAATTAAATGATTTATTCTAGTCTTACATAATTACAAAGTAATGAGCTTTATAAGGTGTTGGCTCACACTCTAGCTAGGATGCAAGCTGCCTCTTGGCGTGGCATGGATTGATAAAGCTCCTGGATGCTCTCCTGCGGTATTTCTTGCCACATTTGCTCAAATTGTCGGCAAGGTCATCAACATTGATGCAGCAGATGTAGTCAGTCATCTTCCCATTATATCTCAGACATGATCGATGAGAGAGAGATATCTCTCCTATTTAGCTTATCTGGCTGGTCAAGAAAGTGTTTGATAAGCTGTAAGACAGTTCATAGCAATATGTGCCATTATGTTGTATGGCATTATCTTGCTGAAAACATAAGGCCAGGGTACTGCAAAAGGAACGGTAGCAAAACAGGTCTCAGAATGCTGTCGACGTACCACTGCGCTGCAAGTGTGCCTCTAATGACTACCAAAGGGATCTGGCTATCAAGGGAAATGGCACCGCAGACCATAACTGCTGGTTTACGGCCTATGTGGCATGCAATAGCGAAAGCAGGATTGGCAAGCTGGTCTGGGTACACGTCTTCAATGATCGTCACGACGCAGCTGGAAGCGGGATTCATTGCTAAAGACTATATATCCCCAGTCAGCATCAAATATGATCGAGCCAAGCACAACTATAATCTGGCTCAACAGTGCACAGGCGTGAGTTGCAGGTTGCGTAACGGTCGGTATGAGCATAGATTTTGCTCTACCAGCCATCTGTGAATGGTCATTGTAGACATTCGTAGGCGGGTTGCACGTCTGATGGTTAACAGTGATGAATCGGGTGCTGCGACAGCTGATCTGACAATAACTCTGTCCTCCCGACCTGTTGTGTGTGGGCCTAGGTCGACCATTACCATCATGACTCTGAAATTTGCCATTGTCCACCCATTCTTGCCAGCATCTTCTAATCACCGCATTGCTTCCAATCCTAAGATGAGCGATTCTCCGATCTGCTCCACCTGCCTCTTCCGAGCCAATGACACGACCTCTTTCACGCTCTGACAGTTACTTGTTACGAGCTCAAATCCTACGGCGAAACATTTTTTCAGTCGTTGAAAGGTATCCTAAATTGCAATGCAACAGAAATTTTTAACAACAGTTCAAGAACAGCTCCTAATATACTCTGCTGGAAGCGCAGGAGACATTACTTCATTGGACACGAAATTTAATTCATTTGCATATTTGGCCAAAACATTTATGCATACGAAATTTTAAAGCTGATTTGATGCTTTTTGCTTGATGATTTCTTCTTGGTGTGTCAAATTTTTTGTTATAGGGTGCAGTTTTTAACACTAAAAAGACTTATTACTTTACTCTTATTACATTCAGAATAAAATATGAAGCTGCTACCAATTCAAGCATTGTAAAATCTCATGTGTAATTATCATACACTTATTTAAAGCTTAATTTAGGAAAGACAAGGTCTGGCACAAAACTGTTAAGAAAGCTCTTCATCCTGCAATTCTTTTGAATATAGAATGGAAAACAAATTATGATGCAAATTATACAACACATTTCATGAAGCAACCTAATAATTTACTATTTTATCATTTAAAATATTTTTTAAAAAAAAAAAATTTCATCTTCTATGTTTTAGTGGTTTTACTTTTGTATGCATTGTATTAACCCGGCGTTACTCGCACTAATCGTACGTATGCAAGTGCTCGCGCCGGGCCTGCGAGGCCCGTTTATGGATTTATATTTTATGGAGATCATTAAAAACCCCATTAAGCATTTACTAACAACATAATTTAAGACAATATTTAGAGCTCTTATTTTATTCAATATACATATAGAATATTTAAAAAAACTTACCAAGTTTTATGTACAATTGGTACATGTTAAAACAGAATGATCTCCACAGAAATTTCTTTCACATTTTGTACAACTTACCTTAGATTTTCGGTCCTTTGAACTTGGGCAAATATAGCACCTACTTCTCTCAATTACCTTTTGTTTTTAGCAGTAGGTTCTTTGCTCTTCCAAGATAATTTTTCTTGCAAATGTCGAGGAAGACATGGTACAGTGATTTGTATTCCAGAAAGTCATGTCTTTCTGGAATACAAACAATTTCATAACTAGTATAACAGCTGTCGACTGTTACATTTCTTCCAGAATTTAACTTTTCTGTTAACCTTTTGACGACTTCAGATGAAGAAATATTTACATGATACGGGCCTTGGGGCTGATTACCTGCATAAACTTCTAAATTACATATAAAGAAAGTTCTTGCATCAATAAGAGCGAAAATCTTTATTCCATACCTAACTGGCTTTTTTGGCATGTACTGTTGAAATGAGCAGCGTCCTCTAAATGGTTCAAGTATTTCCTCAATTTTAACATATGATTCAGCTGACAATTATGCACAAATGAACCAAATACATACCTTATTAGGACAAGTTTGGCCATTTCTTTTCTCATTTGCTTGTTTCTAACATTGTCAAATTTTATGCATCTCATAAGAAACAAAAAAACGATTATGAGACATAGTCCTATGAAATATTTGTATTCCCATTCCATCAGTGTGCCATAAATCTCTCACATGCACATGGGATGATTTTTGTATACCACATAAATATAGTAATCCAATAAAGGCTTTAATTTCCGGACAGTCTTGTTTTTTTAGCATCACGTTCTCTCCGAAAGCTGTCATTGATGGTGTCAATATATATATTTGTAAAGGTGACGATAATATTCAAGATATTTTCATCCAGTAATAAACTCCAAGACTTAAGAGGAAGGTACGTTTTTTGCTACTCCAACATTTCCAGGCAATTTTGAAATAATATTTCGTGATAAAGTTCGAACATTTTGACGAAATTTTGTTTTCTTCCAAATTGTCTTTCCATCTTTTTGAGTAAAACAATCACAAACTAAATTAGAATCAATAGCGTCCTGTTCATCAGACTCGATTTCTTCTTTATACGACGTATTATGCTCAGTAAACTTTTCATCGTAATCAGACAATAAATCATCACCTTCGATAGATTCGTCATCATTCGATACTTCATTTAGCAAAGTTGGTAATCGTTCCATTTCTTCATCATATGTTAATCTGCGAACCATGTTGTGCTACGAACTCAGTGCACTTCAAACTCGAAATTAGAAACACGTTTACTCGCACCGGGCCTAAACGACACGAAAAATGGCTTTTTGTCCGAACAGAATAAAACAAAATTCCGGAAACGCGTCCTTTGTGTCACCTTACACTCAGCTAGAGTAGGCATAGTCCATTACAGTATTAACGGGTTTTACGTAGCATTAACAAACTGATCGGGCCTCGGAAGCCCGCTGCGAGTGACCCCGGGTTAAAGATTAATTTAAACATTTTAAATCAGATCTTGTGTCCCCAGAAAGAAAATGGGATTAAGAGAAGAAACTAATGAATTCTTTCTGATATTACAACAAATCTTAATTAAATTACAGGTATGAGATAAAAATAATTCAGTTTCATTAATTATGTATATAATCATGCTTCAATAATAAAAAAATCCCTCATATTCAAGTCACATTATCAGCTTCAAATGCAATAACAGAGGTTACATAACAGCAGAGATAGATCGCACATTTAAGCATTAGCTTACAAATCAAAGTTTTGCTAAATATCAATCACTAATGAACATGCAAGACAACAGTTCCAATGTTTGATTTATGAAGAAAGACAATATATGAAATTTTAAATTACCTTTTTTGATCCTACTTACACATTTTTAAAATTCAGAACTGGAAAAAATTATTAAAATTTTATGTATTTTAAGCATTGCATAGCTGCCCAACTGGGATAGTCGTTAGTGATGCCAGTTGCTGTACCGAAGGTCTTGTGTTTAAATTACAGAGAAGGCATGGATGTTTCTAAATATATAGTGTCTGTTAAGCATGGAGGCACTTTAAATATGTGGCAAGCCAAATGCCTTCTCGAGAGGTGGGTGGCAAGGGAAAGAGAGGTGTTAGACCTTCAGACCTGTTCCCCCAGGATGCCCTTTCTTAAAATTGGAGGCAGAACCGAGGTAAAGTCAGGCTGTCACCTATATGGAGCTAAAGGCCTTTGCCAACAACAGGCGAATTTGACTCCAAGCCACAATGAATGTCATGGGCTAGCACTGTCTTGTGTCAGACAAGTGAGATTGGTAGCAACAAACATTGTATATTACTTCAAATTTAAGGTACACTTTTTAAACAAATTTTTATGATGTAAAATTATGATGCACTTATATTCAAAGCAAATAATTTAACATCTCATATCGGAAGAAAATTAGCCGGCTTATATTTAAAACCTAGTCTAAATAAAAATGTTTCTCATTTTTCAATATCTATAATAAAGACATTCTTCTTATTATTTTTCCAATTTTAAATATCACACTGAACTTGAATTTGAAGGTAGTTTCTTCTTATTTTAATACTTCCAAGGTGCAGCTATACTACTGTAGTTTAAGATAATATAGTATTAGGGAGTTTGGACCACATGTTACATTCGTAATCAGGCTCTGCCTGTTGCTTCTCAGTGAGAATGAGGTAAGCCACTTAAAAACACAATATGTACTTCTTAAATGACATCTTCAGTATGATTCTGGCAAAGCTAAAGGAATCTATTATTTTATTAAACATGAATAATAAAATTTGCAATCAGTACACCTGGCTTTTAAAGCGTAATTTTTATTGTTGAACAAATAGCAAATTTTAAATAAATTTTAAAAAAAAGATTGCTTGTTTGATGATTCATCGGATATATTTTCAGGTGTTAAACAGGAATTTGAAAGATGCAATTTCAAGTTCTCCACTTCCCATTTTTTTAATACTTTTAATTTTTACATGACACAATTTAGCTCTGTGCTTAATAAAAGAGCATAAAAGCACAATTATGTTTAACCCAAAGCTCTCAGCTCCACATATAGAAGATTCAGTATTTCCATTTAAACTAACAAATGGTCAACCATTACATTCTAACACCCGACATCAATTTAAAGCTTCTAAATCATAGCGTTCTCATTGATTACATTTCCAAACAAAGCATTTATTAATTTTATGGCAATATAGTTTTGGGGATTTTTTATCAAGTCTGGTAACAAATACAAATAATATAGTGATAAAAAATTAACTATTCTCAGAACTGTTACAATATTACAGGATTCGATTATATTGTATGATATACATGTATAATACATATGTATGTAGATACATAAGTGATCCCTCACCCACTCATATACCATGCACACAAGAGATAAAAGTATGCAAATTAAAATACTAACTTTAATAATTTTCGATAGTCTTTTAACTCTCAATTTGGATATTTCCCCTTTGCATACTAAAAACAATATCTGTTTTTAATAAACCACTCCATACTGCATTATTTAAAAATTAATCTTACACCACTATGATTCCAATATAATGTTAATGATGCAAATTCTTCTGCAAACTGAAACTGAAAGAGCAAATACTGAAGCATTTAACAGCCAAAAGAAAAATTTCATTATTTTGCCAATAATGGTGAGGGAAGACATTTGGCTTGTGAATCATTACTCACAAGCTTAGTTCACATCCTTGTGAACTAAGCTTTTATCTTGGAATAGGTTGCCTTACTTCCATGCTGCCAACATGTTTCTTTTTCTTCAAATAAATTTTAGAACTGTAAATGGTACCAATATAATTCTCTAATAATATGCACTTACTGCACTACTTTATCTGCATGGCTTGAAAATGTTTGTCAACAAGAAAGAAAAGTAATATCCAATTCGCCATGACTTTATGCATCCACATCATTCCGACATTCCAAATTATTACATACACGTGTGTCATTCAAGATAAATAACCTTTATAAACACTAATAAATAAGTTAAAAAAAAAACTTTATTTCAAGTTTGTGTTAAAACAAAAACTACAGTATGTTTAGAGAAATAAGCTTTGAACTATTTCTAATGGAATTAACTCCTACATATATAAAAATATGATATTTCAATTTTTTCAAAAGATGATCCACCAAGTTTCACTCAAACTGGGATTTCGTTGAAATTTTGAAATATAGCAGTATGTGGGGGGGGGAACAAGTTAAAGTAAATAAAAATAATGCATGTTGTTAGTAGACTTATTTTTGTAAATAAAATATGCGTATAGCAAAAGAAAATACATAAAAATATGCAGATCAAAAGCCAGATTTTTGTAAAAGAAAAATATTAAGAAAATTACATTCACTTTCATCTTTGTCCATTTCATCATCAGACAGATCTATTCGAGGAACTGAGAAGAAATCAGGTATGAACTGACGCATGATATTCTTGATTTTCTGCTTGTCTTCCTTGTGAATCCCTGTAAACAAATGAATATAGTCTGTTGATGCTCTGGTTTCCATTTTAGAAGAAAGATAACTCTTGTAAAAAAACTTTTAATAACCTTTTCTCTACTAATTTATATTTTATATAACTAACTTCTTGGTGCTGTACAATGTCTTCTACTTTTAAATGTAAAGATTAAATGAAATGTAATTTTTTTTAAACTTAAGGGTAGTTTTTAGGGATAGAGTTTTTTTAGGGCACATATTACATCCCAGCAGGACAGAAATTTGCTAAGATATATACAACCCATTGTTGATAAAAAGGTTTACAGGACAACTTTTGAAGTACATTATGCAACTGAAGCAATAAAGAAGAGATTGTGACAATATAATAATGAATGAAATAATTAAAGCAATTTTAATGGTTACATTATAACGTATTTCTCCCACTTCCTTAACATGCCTTCATCGAGTAGTGGTCAGCACACCTGGCGCATATTCGAGAGGTCCGTGGTTCACGTCCGACGAGGGCATTGCTCATTTTTCACCTCTCCTGCTTTCAAAAATGTTTAATGTCTTTACAGTGGCACCCCAAATAAAAGTGGTGGATGATCTTTCTCCACACCAGGATTTGATGACTAGGTCCCCTAATCCAAAGTAGCCCTTTAAAAGGGTGAGTATATAAGGTATTTCTCCAGCCTTCTTAGCATGTCTTCATGGTGTAGTGTGGTCAGCACACTCGATACGCATTCGAGGGGTCCATGGTTCAACTTCTGGCAAAGGCATCGCTCATATTTCATGTCTCCTGCTTCAGAATAACCTAATGTCTCTAGAGTACATAATTTTCATAAGCATACGACTGATACAGTTATAATATCAATTATTCAGATTATGACAAAGCATGTAAGGACTATCTATTCTTTAAGGGAAACTGCTTTGTATTACACTACATCAAGGGAAATGAACAGATTTCCCATGCAACCAGCAGTTAACCAGAATTTGAACATAGATCAGACTGACAATGTTCAGCCATTGCTGGGTCAAATCTGAATGAAATTAATGTCCCCATAGGCATAGCCAGGGAAAAAAGGGGATTTTATTAAAATTTTTAGCTTACCCATGCAGGATCAATACCAGAATGGAATCAAAACCCCTTTCTGAACTGATGAGTTGATCCTATTTTCACAGTTCTCAATACTGTGTATTACACAGCACAGTATTAACAGACTGCATATGCGTTGATCTTTTGAGCCTGATGTAATGATCTTGTGCACAGTACCACTGCCAATACTGTGTCAACTTACTCATGGCTTTAATTAGCCACTTTGGGACAAACTTAAAAAGAAGGAATTAAGCTGAATAATCAAATATAACAAAAAGAATTTGAAAAACTGATTTTATTTTATAACTAGTTTAGGGATATATCACTGTAAATGCACATATGACAATTAAGTTACACTCAAGTACCATTTTCCCTGCATTTAATATATTATACACACAAAATTAATATTTCATACATTCCCTTTATTGATTCTACACATGCATCTCCAATTTCCCCCTTTTTTTATAACAGTTTTTTTACCAAAACACTTTTAATACCGGAGGCGTGCGAGTTTCACAAATACTGAAAGAAGCATTGCTACAGGCCACAGAACAAGAAAAGCTATGCACATACCAGTTTGCCTTTTAACATGATGGATAATAAGGTTAGCAGCATCTTTGAAGATATCTTTATTTTTATATGACAGAATTAAATGGGGTCCAGTAGGAACATCTGTTACACCATCCTCATTATCAGCCTGTTCATGCCTCTGTAAATATGAACAGATTTTTATAGATATAATGCAGGCTTAAGCACAAATTATCCACTTAAAGTGTAAGAATGTAAAGAATTTGCAGATTTGTTGAAATGAATCAATTATGCAACGAAAAATGGGCAATATTATGTTATTAAATTAAAAATTACCTCATCATATATTGTTTCAATTTCACTCAAGATACTTTTTGACCTAAGAAATTTAACATCATTTTGCTTGAAATTTATACCTTGATGATCAAGAGATTTTAGGTAATATTTCTCATTTTGTTCTCGCCATATTTTATTAAAACTCTTTTGGGCTTTACGCCATTCCTCTTCTTTTGCTTTTAACCTGCAAGGACAGTAAACATGCAATATAATCACACACATAACCACGTTATTCATATTTGTTAATTTCTAAATATATATAACGTAGATTTGTATATATATTAAAAAATTACATTGTTAAAGCAGGGAAAATATATCTATGCACTTACCGCCTTAAAACTAACGGTATTGCAGATACAGGGTTTTTCTTTAGCCCTTCAATGATGTCATTAGCTTTGTCACCATAAATCCTAAAATAAAATTTTGTTTCACATCACACTTTGAAACAAATAAAAATAAAACAGTAAAGCATGCCATTTTTGTTTTTCAAAATGTTATTTATGTCAAATCATATAAGGAAAAATACTGCATGAAGTTGTAGGGTTATTGTTATTAACAAGTTATTTATTATTTCAGACTTTACTATTACTTCTCTTTTTCACTTTCCTCATCAGAAATGTAAATGACCCAGAAAGTACTTAATTCAAGGATTCTGGATTGTAAGACAGAAATGTGTTTCTGCCTTTCGAGGCCACGTTACTGGATTTCGCTGGCTCTGATAAGATAGCAATTCTTCAACTTTGTATTATAGCTGCCATCATTTAATTATTACACCAGTGAGAAATTCTAAGCCAACTTACTTTAAAATTATTTGTGTAGATTTTGACTACTAACTTATGGCTTAATTTAACATTCTCAAGTCTCTGGTAACTTCACACACAGCGATAATTCGTTTCAGGTATGTTAGGCAACTGGTGCTAATTTTGCTATCAAAGCAAGTCGAACATTAAAAAGTATAAAACAAATACAACTGGAAAAAAAGTATTCATGCACGGGGACCGGGACAAACAGAACTGTCCCTTAAACAGTGGTGTCTCTTACAGGATGTACTATTGTAGTTCCTAAAAACCAAAAGAAAAAAGAAATTCAACGAATCTGCTTGTTAAAGAGATGATTTTCCAACAGCATTATCTCACATCTCATAGTTATAATACATCATCATATAATGCAAGTAAACATGAAGAAATATTTGAGATTCATCTTGTATTAGTAAAAAAACTATATATTATATTACTATTCTTCAATACCACTACAATGGGAATTGTGCTTCATCTACATTTTAAAAATAAGTTTTAATAAGTAACAATTTAAAGGGAAGAGAACCCTTAAGAACCTAAAAATTCATTAAAAGAAAATGAAGTTTCAACAAAGCATCTTACCTTTTTATTGCTCGCTGCTGGATCACAGTAGAACCTCCTCCTAATGTGTCATCTAAACGATACCGAACTTTTTCTTCAGGAGTCATTCTGTTTATTTTGACCATTTCTGCTTCTAATATTCTTATAGTAGATAAATTGGTTTCAAGCACAACATCCAACTAAAATTTAAAAAAAAAAAAATAAATAAAATCTGATCTGTACACCACATGGCTTCCTAGTATGGAATATTAAATTTAATATTAGATCTAAATTTAGTACTCGTTTTCGCAACAACACTGAAAATCCTCTCACACTCTGCATTACTATGGGGAACTGTCAAGATGGCCAACATAATTCTAGAGAGTTTCACTATATTTTAAAATTCATCAGCACCTTTCAATTTTCCAATTAAAAAACTCCACTGGATGTCATCCCAGCTGATTTATAACTTCATCCAAGTTTTCTAATTGTAAGCTGCAAAATTGCGACTGCAGTATATCAGTTGCAACATCAATATCGTCATCTTTCATGACTAACGAAGTAACACAGGAAATCTGTTCAAAAGTACCTATATCAGAAAAGATGCATTTGCTAGAGCAGAAACATCAGCAACTTTAGCATGCAAAATTCACTTCATCGTTGACTGGAAATTTATGTAGTATGTACATCATGTACTCGACAGAACTTACTTCTAACAGAAGATAAACTTATTTTTGTCTTCTTCTGAAAGTTCTTCCCTACTTTTGTAGTTGCAGCTCCTGTTACCAAAATCTTCATCTTTCTTCTGATTTTCTGTTTCACCATAAAATCACATCATATATAGAATTACAAGACAAAACACAGACTGGTTTTAACAACTTTGATAAAATGTGTTTAAAACAGATCATAAATCATTGATTGCAAACATGAATTAACGGAATTCTGCTTTGTAGAATGCGTTAAGAACATCGAATGATGGCAAAATGAATTGTAACAAAAAAGCAAAAAGCTTTGTTAAGGTCCGAAGAAAAAACATAAATATTCGTTCTTCACAAGATAAACTTACAATAATCGGAAAATGTTTCGTTGTGTTGAGCAATTTTTTTATTTTGAGAGAAATTTGTATCAGCTTTACGCTTATATTTTGTAGTATTATTTTGAGAACTGCCAGTTGAAATTGCTGAATGATGCAGAAATTACTTTATTTTTTCTCAAACCTATTTTTAACAATGGAAGTAGTAACTACATCTCCATTTACTTTTAGGTGCTTTATAACTTTCAATAGAGCCTTTTATCTTAACTCTCGGAAGCATTTACTTCTTCTTTAAAAATTTCAAGAAGTGGGTTCCATTGATCGAGATTCTAGATAAGCATTTCTTTAAAGACAGCCAGCGTGTACACACATGTTTCAAAATTTTTCTTATTTCAGTATTATGCAGCTGTTGGAACTGTTTCAATTTTTCCTTTCTTTTAGAACTTCTTTCAAGCTAATAATAAATATCAACAATGTGTTCATCCACATTTAATGATAAAGAAGCTGCCCCTTTTTCAGCTGCTGAATTTAAGAGGTGACAGGTGCACCTCATAATCTGCAAATCTGAATTTGCCTTTCTTAAGATGCCAGCAACACCAGTCTTCAAGCCTACCATTACTGGTGCATTATCGGCACCAAGTGCTAAGGAATTATCCAGAGGGACTGCATTTTCTTTTAAAGTTTCAATAATTAGCTGTGCTATATTAAAGCCTGTCGAATGTCCTTCTAAAGTGGAGAGAGAAAGTAAACTGCACTCAATTTCTGAAGACTCTGGATTAAAAAAAGAAACAACAATTGGATACAGTTTTGAATTGGTATTATTGCTTCCTTTCGTAGAGAGGCAGAACGGAGCTGTTTTAATGCAATCAATAACTGAAGATTTATTTTTCAAACCCATTTCTTTAACAATTGCACCTGTTTTGGTCCTTGCATTTGAGTATTTCTTAGCGATTTCAATATCGGGAAATATTTTTCTAAATAAAGCTGCAGCGTGATCCGATGCATTCAGTGGCAGGTTGTGCTCCAGTAAAAAGGCAGAGAACAGACATTCAGCATTAATCACTTTTTGGTCTTTTGTTTCCGAAGAAAAATTTAATTTTTCGTTTTTTCAAAACAACTCATGTTGTCCTTATGTTTTTGTGTACACACATGTTTGAGAACATCTGCCCTTCCACCATGCGAAATCGAAAAATCGCAACGACAGATGGTACACATCGCAAATTTATTACATTTCCTTGAAGAAATAATGGAAGGAAAGTCAACTGTGTACGGTTTTTGAAACGTGCACGAGTATTTCACCTTTCTCACATAACAAAAGACAATAATTTCTGAAAACTTATTTCCTGAAAGGCACGTGTACTCGCACATAACTCAGGACAAGATGAACCGAAATAACTAAAGAACATCCAAATAACGGCCAACGCCTTGAGCTTGCTTTGTGCTCATTGGCTAATATATGCCAGATGACACGCAGTGGAGCTCGATACCCATTGGAGAAACTGGAGAAGGACGTTTCTGGATACGTATGCTCTCACTCACAAAGCAGAAAAATTTCTCATCTGATTCGCAAGGATTTTATTTTTAGATATAATCTAGAGAAAATTCAATTGCTTTCAGACGTCCAAAATAACTTTTTTTTTTTTTTTTTTTTGTTTTGTTCATATAACGAAGTATGAAGCCAAGTTCCATAAAAATCGTGAGAAATATTAAGAATAAGAAAAAGTCGGGAGAAATATATTGTAAATCGGGTTGGTGGGAGAGCGGTCGAAAATCGGGAGAGTTGGCAACTCTGTGGATATTTTGGTTGAAATATGCTGCCTGAAACATTTTGCGATTACAATACTTCCTTTTTACTTCATACAAGGAAGTAAAAAAAAAGGCAGAAATATTTACTTGTGCATATCTACGACACACACTAACCACAAATTCTACAAATCACATCGATTTTAAAGAAAAAGGATCAGACTTTACTGAAATCCAGATCGGCACACATCATATAAACCTTCATTTCTCTTCTTAAATAAAAACAATACTAATTGTTGTTATCTGATAAAATCAAATTTTTAACAAATGTTTCCCGCCACAGCAAATATCGTCTGTAAAAACAAATCATTGCGATACTTCGTCAAACGATTTTTGGCATTTGAATGAAAGAGACTTGCTTTAGATTACTGTGTTGTGAATTCCAGTTCTGTTGCAATCAGCTAGAGAATGCTACCAAATCATGTGTATAGAGTTAGGTACTAATGTTGCTTAATACAACATTGTGAAGGTTTGGTATTGAAAATTCAAAAACAAGGACTATGACATTCAAGAAACAGAAAACTCTGGCCAGCCTACTTATGTTGATGAGGTCCACCTGCCAGAATTTATGGAAGATTATTATGCAACTACTTGAGAGCTTGTTAAGGAGTTAGACATTAAAGCCTTGTCCATTCATCGCGCTATGCGTCTCATAAACTTGATGTACAAATTCAATCTCTGCATGCAGCATGAGCTGACTCAAGCAGATAAGGACAGGTGTTGTTCGGACCTGCACTAATTTACTAGAATATCAACTCAAGGGCAAAAGTCTGGAGTGGGTTGTAATTTGTGATGAAAACTGGATTTATTTCAGCACCATAAGGCCAAAAAAAGGGTTGGTCTGCTCCCAGTGAGCCCAATCGACCTTGCCGCAAAGAGCAATTTGACTAACAAACAGATCATGCTTTGTATCTGGTGGGATTTCTGTGATATTATACGCAAGGAGTATTTGGAAAAAATTAAAACTCTTGAAAGTAAGGTGTACAGTGAGATGCCAGTCCGTGTCTACACCACTATCAAGGAAAAACATAGAAATGATTTCCAGTGCTTAGTAAACAGGCAATGTTCCATCAAGATAGTGCAAGACCGCATGTGTTCCTATTCAATGGATGTAGCTCTGTATGGACTTCAAATGGGATCTTTTTGTTAGACCCAACATACAGTCCCTATATTGTGCCTTCAGATTTCTATCTTTTTTTCACACTTGCAGCTACATCTTGCTGGTGCTATCTTCCATTCTGCAGAGGTCATCCAAAATGAGGTTGATCTGGTTCCAGACTCATGGCCATGATGATTTTAGGCCGAAGGCTTTGAAAATCTCCCAAAACGCTGATAGAAAAAAATCTTAAGATTTAGGTAGTGATTACTATCTGCACTAAAAAGTACAGCTTTCACTCTTTTTCCTTTAAAATTTTTATTAAGAATGGTTTTGGGTGGAAAACTTTTGTTATGACAAAAAAAAAAAAAAAAAAAAAAAAAAAAAAAAAAATCGTTTCTTTCGTTCGCTACAAACTTTCATTTTTGATACTTTCCAATCTTGCAAGGCCTCTTGTTATAAAATATAAAATGACAAAAGTATCAAAATATCATCAAAGACATTACCATTTAAATAAAATTATAATTTGCAGAATATTTATGTACCAATATTTACTAATTTTTTCCAAAAAATTAACCTTCTCATTATCTTATTCTTTTTCTCAATAAGTGTCCTGCCTCATTTAGATCAGCTAACAGTAAGGTTTTTGTTAAAACAAACTTATATTAAAACTAAAAACCTTTACAAAACTTCACTATTTAAATGACAAACCATGTTTTGTCAAATTTACACAAAACATGGAAATTTTGTATAAATTTGACCAAAAATTGTCACAAATGATAAAAAAATGGCATTTTACCTCAAATCTTTCATCTTCACACCGGTATATATATTCTTCAAACTGTGTTTTCCTCGAACTTACAAATGTAGAGTCTTCTGACCATGATGGAAAGGAGACCCAAGTGTCATTTAAAACCTAGGGTAGAAAAAAAGAATAAAGTATTATAAATTAATATAAAATTACAAGAACCGAAACAATGAACCAATCACATCATTTAATTTACAACTTGTTTTTATTATAGAACATGTTTAATGGAACAATATGCTCCATATTTCAAATGATGAATGAATTCATTTTTTAATGATCTGTTCCAGTAACAAGCTATCCTAATGGTTAAACAGGATTTAAATATTTTTAATAACTTGATGTGAACTCTAATAACATTAAAATTATTAATCACATATCTAATATGAAAGTCTTAGTTAAGTATTTATAATTTAAAATTTCTAAAAAATACTTATATGAGCTAAAAAAATTACATCAACTGTAGCAGTGTATGCACACATATCTAAATAAGAAATTTAAAAAACAACTACTATCATTAGAATAAAGTATTTCCTAATTATAAAAATGTAATACCTCTCGACATAACTGTGTTCGACCACTACACTTAGGCTGTACATAATTCCTAGGAACAGCTCGATAGCTTGCACCATACTTCACACATGAAGAATAATCTATGAAAATTTAATACAGTTTCACAAACTAATAATCATATACAGATAATTTCAGTGATAAGATAATTACATCAATTAAAATACTCATGTTCAAATTTATCTTTACCTCGCTAAAAATAATGATATTCCATGAAATATCCAATCAGTGCAATTCATTTTTGCAGGAAATATGCGAAAGACAAGCCTAAATTAGTATTATCCAATCAAAAGTGATCAAACAGTTTCTGGTATGCAAATCATGGTTTTATATAATCAAACAAAGAATGAAGCACTTTGCGCAAAATGAGTGAATTTCTATAATACAGCATTTGATTTTAGTGTGCAAGGACTCAAAACAGTTTGTTATAACTTCAAAATATCAATTGGAAGAATCTGTGAAGTGGCAAATCACGTAGGTCATCTGGAGGCAGAGCAGACAATCATGGAAGCAGAGAGATGTATGAATACTTCAAGACAGACAATCTCTATGCTACAGAAACAATTCCAGAACTCTGGAACTTATGACTACCTTGGAAAAGCAGTTGCACGCGGTCATCCTCCTAAAGATGTAAATTTTCTGAAATCTGGAGGACAGGAACTTAATGCCTCAAACTGTGGTTAACAATATTCTTGCCAGCATGAAATCACATGATATGCGAGTACTAATTCAGGGGCGATCATATTTTTATGTTAAATTCCTAAGTTATTTTTTTAAACTCTCCTTGTATATTACCGTTTTAGTGGTTTAGGCTACAGTTTTACATCATATGCTATGTTCTTAAATTTCTTCCTTCGCAAAGATGCATTATGATGTTATATATTATTCCTCATAAATTTATAGTTCACAGTTTCTGAGAAATCCATGAATTCATACATGTAGAGATAATTCTGGACATGAGTATATAACAGCTAACACCACAGAAATTACTATTACTTTTTTAAAAAATCACAAAATTAATAGTCAATCACGTCTAACAGGTACTTTATAGACAAAAATAATCAAAATAATGAGAGCTGCAAACTAAGAAAATATTGCAAATGCTAAACTTTAAGCATTTGCATCAATCACAATTTAATAATTTAAAAAAAAAATTACATACCAATTTCAGTAGCAAAATCTCCAACTACTCTTTCCCGTTCCTGAGTCTCAACTTTTTTAGGAACTATTTCAACATTATTATTAGTTTCTTTATAACCCAAAAAATCCTTGAACCATTTAAAAAGATCGGTGTATTTTCTAAAAAAAAATAATAGTTGCTTAGACAATTCACAATACAGTTGCTTAATACAAGTTATATTAAAACTAAAAAGTTAAAGCTAATCATTTTTATGGTTAGTTCAATAAAGTCAACAGGCACGTAAATGATGTTATGGTAAAATTTCAAGTAACTACCACACTTCAAAAAAAAAAAAAAAAAAAAAAAAAATTAATGCAAAAATCCATAAGAGTAAATAATTACACAGAGTACATCTACTAACTGCACAATACATAGAGTAAATAATTGGACACATTCATAAAAATCAAAACATATAAAATGTGATTTTACAGAAAATATTTCTACACACTTACGATAGAAATGGAGCGACTAATAAAACCAAATCTGCTCTAGAGATTAGCTCTTGATTGTATATTACCAAACACCTGAGAAAATTCTCATAGACTTCTTGACTTTTTAATGCTTTTCGTACCTATAAAAAAAAAAAGAGATTTACATTTCAGGCTTAGTTCTGCTTGAAATTAAAAAACAGATATAGAAGAAGAAATGAAAATATGACATAAAATCATTTCATCGCAAGTATTTCTAAACTTTTCAGATATAATTTAAATTTTTCATTTCAAATGATTACAAAAAATAATTAGCTTGGGATACTGAAATATGACCAACAGTAGTAAATGCAGCATTTTTGTTTTAATGTTTAAAACTATATATGATTAAGAAATGATTCATATTTTTTCATATCATGAGCTGTGTGATATTTTAATACACAAATTTCTAAATATATCTGTAAATCTTATCACACACACGTAAAATTATAAAAATAATGGATAATTTTAACAGAGATGAGACAGGTGTTTTCTGATTTAAATTTCTTCAGGTGGTGGTTAATCCCAAAACAATATTTCAGTTTTAATAAGTTTTTAATCAAATCATTTGCCCTTTTGAAAATTAAGGATATCACCTTTACATATTTAGTTTGCCAATGAATAAAAATTATCAATAAGAAACACAATTATAAAATTTGTATACCTTGTGTGTAAATGTATAAAATGGCATAAGCAGTAAAAATGCATTAAAAATATAGACAATCAGTATGAGATGGCCATTAGCATTTTCATTCATTAGGAAGAAGTTACTACTGACTGGATCTCTAAACAATTTGACATACAAAGGTCAAGAATCTCCTCTCTGTATATTCCAGTATTCATAATTGCATTAGTAAAAACGTGTTGGCCAATTACCATGATTCCACCATCATTTATCAAAGAATGCAAAATCATTTAATTAGTAACTCACCTTATCAAAAAATGCAAATTCAAATAAATAGTAATTTACCTTATCAAAAAATGCAAATTCATTTAAAGTTCCATATTTGCCAGCTTCTGACAGAGTTACATCTTTCAAACTTGTCATCTTTGGTTTCTATAAAAATATACATATATAATTAAATAAAAATAAATATGTACAGGCAAATTCATCAAAAATTACCCATACCACTAACATACCTTTATTGGAGGAGACGGTAGAGGTGGAGGTGGCCGTTTAATAGCTTGAATTTGTTTTGTTTGATTATTTGTTGGCGCAACTGGTTTCGCAGGCAATGATGGTTTTTTTACGCTTGCACTATTTTCATTATTCATTGATTTAGGAGGTTGCTAGAAATAAAACATTCATTAAATTATTTGACAAGTCTATATGAATTATAAATGAAAAGGTCATTTGAATTTGTTTCACTTATTTGTTAGTGCAAAAATTTAGCAAGCAACGAAGGTTTTTTTTTTAAACTTGCATTATTTCATAAGTCACTGATATACGAGGTTGCTAGAAAAAAAATATGCATTTAACCTTCCAGCACGCGCGTTTGGCAATTTTACATGAGCATGCACGTAGGATTTTTTACGACATCCGTTGTTTTCCCATTTTTGGAACAAAAAACGACAGAAATGAGTTAATATTGATAATAAATTTATTAAGAAATAAAATATTAATATTATTATTGCAAAATACAAATGACATCAACATTCAAATATAAGTAAATTATTTTTAAGTTCGTATGTTAGTGAGATGGAAATGCAATGATGTATTTCATTATAGAAAATTTTAAATTTATTATTTAATAATTATATTTTAAAATCAAAGCTAATTTTAATATTCACCAAAGACAAGTAAAGACAATAAAAAAGGAAAACACCTTGGTAGGAAAAAAAGTATGTTTAGCATTACTTACTTTTGCAAAGAAATTTACTTCTTACTGGTTACAAAAACGCCCTTTAAACTAACTTTAACGCTTTTATTTATTTCTAAAAAATAGAAATAAAAGAAAATAAGGAATGGAAATCGCTATTGTTCTCCCATTCAAAGGTTTCCTTATCTTCCTTTTCTTCATCAGATAATTCTTGACGAATCTGAGCAAAATCAGCTGGTTGCACATATTTTTTTTACTATGAAAACCGATATAAAATTTACAGAGCTAAATGTATTCAAATTAAAATAATACATGGCAATTAATAACACAAAATTACAAAATATTTGGGAATAAAAATATTTTCCGAATTTTAAAACACGACCATGCGCGTGTCGTAACTGTTATGAAAAAGCTGCCACATAATAGCACAAAACCCCAGTTAAAAAAAATCAAATGACTTCCTCTTGGCACATTCCATGATGTGGGGAAGGGTAGAAGCGAGGAATACAAACGACCTTCAGATGCCTCAACTTCAATAGGCGAAAAACATACATTAAAAACTGAATTTGTCGTACATTTTGCACATACGCGCGTGCTGGAAGGTTAATTATTATATGAGTGCAAAAACCATTTCAATTTGTTTTGTTTTAATTATCTGTCAGCACGGCACATTTCATTGATGATAATGATTTCTTAACATTTGGATTCCACAAAACATGGTAGCGTAACAGGTTTTGCAGTCAACAACGATTTCTTTAACTTTGTATTATTTTCATTATTTATTTATTTAGGAGGTTTCCAGAAATAAAATATACATTTTACAAGTCATTAGAAAAGTTGATCTTAAGTTCACTAAAACCTATTGAATGACAGGCCACTGCTAATACATACACATGCATGCATGCATCCTTAACCTGATCCGATAACGAAGAGTACCGAGAGATTATATAGGAATGGTACCTTTACTTTAGGGTGAATTTTTAGCTAAGCTATAAAGAGCAGAAAAGCAATAGAATTACTGCACTCTCCAAAATGATCCCAACTGAAATATCCTATAGTCTGGAAATGGGGGAAATTCATCTATATACATTGGATTATTCTTAGCTAACTTATTAAAATTCGGATAAACTGAGTCTTATAAATAACTATTTCAGTTAACTTTTCCTCATATCTTGGATAATCATCAGTTTGAGAAGTAAGCTATATATTTTCAAATGGCAATTTTAGATATATTTAAATTAAATCCATTTTATGAAATTAATGATAAATGCAGTGGTATGTGTAATAGATAACTGTATTATTTGCATAAATCAAAAGTCACTAACATAACCAATATCAAAACATTTATTTGCGTATATACATTATATATAAAATGTTTATACACAATATATTACGAGAGTACATATATGCAAGATCCAATGCACCTGTAGCTTGATAGATAAGAGATAAATTATAGGCTATTTCACGCTTCTATAATACTTCCTAAGGTAGAAAGAAAATATAATCAATTAGCAAAAACCACAGATGACTATTTAAATTACAGTAATGCAATTTGAAAAGTTTTTGTAAAACATAACCAAAAACTTATTTTAGAATGAAATTGGAAAACATGAAATCAATTAATTACTTCATCTGGTCCCTTAATAACACCTGGAGCACATAGAGCTTTTTTATAATACTGAATAGCCATATCTTTATACCTAGAAGAGATTATACTAAGGAAAAGTACTACTAATGTAATTAAAATTTCCTAAAACTATGTTGAAGTTCATGATATTGTCTGAAATTAAATATCAGGCTACCTTACTTATATTTATAGAAGGACTGCTGATTTTTTTTTTATAATAATTACACTAATATTAGTGTGATGTAATGCTATTTAATCTGATAATATACTAGTGTACTCAATTAAGGTTGCAAATGAAACACATGCAATACCTTGAAATATAATTAGTTTATTATAATGAAATTTTGTACAGAAATGACCAACATCATCAAGAGCAACGATTTTTATAGTTTATAATTTCAAATTGTAGATATAATATTAGTTTATTTTTCCAAGCGGGTTGGAGAGAGATGACCATTTCTAAAGCACTGAAAGTGCTACACGAATTGCTTTCAGATAGTGAATCTGATACGGATCCCAGCGCATATGTAAAACATTAAATATTGGGTTGTGCTTTTTCAAAGGTGGTGTCACTTTCTTCAAAAAGTACCACAATGAAAAAAATAGACTAAAGTGTAAATAATGAAATATCATATACCCAAGTTACTTTTTTTTTTCCATTCATAAGCATGTAATCATCATATAACCCAAAATGAGCTTTCTAGGGGGGTGTAGAGTAGCAAATTTCCTCATGGCACACCCTGGGTAATGCTAAACCTGCTGTGATATTCAGAATCTAGTGTTTTTTAATCGTAGGCAAAATCTCTTTATTCTTTTACGCACTTCCCAGCAATGCTCATTTCAGCACTCTTTTCGAAGCTCTATTCCAGGGTTGGCCAAACTTCACGTCAGTAAGAGCCACACATTTGAATTCAGAAATGTTCGAGAGCCGCATCTAGATTTTCTAAAAGCCACAAGTTCATATTTACATCATTATAGAAATAGTGGAGGAGGTTTTAAATAGAAAGAAATCCCTGATAACTTTGTAAAAAGAGTCTAAACATATTAATTACTTCTTTTTAGAGACTGAATAGTTTCAGTTTACCATATTTCATACATATATTTTATATGCACAATTTCCTGCGAGAGCCGTATCAGGCTCGCAAGCCACACTTTGGCCACCCCTGCTCTATTCAATCAGTGTCCCGTGGGCACACCCACAGAATTAAAACGATAAGTGCTATCTTTACAAAATTTTACTTGTGTACTCTTCTAGGCCTAATTAAACTGCCGACTTTTTTTTTTAAATCGAAATTCGAGCTTTAAAAGGTAGCGTGCCAGAAAGTGTTAAAATGTTAGGTAAAGATGCAGGCACGTTTATTAGTTTAACAGTTATATTTGAACCTCCATTGACACATCTTCTATGAACAGAAACTTGCTAAATTCTCAAGCCTTCAGAAGAGGTCATTGTATTCTCGTATAATGAGCATTCTTTGATTATAGATAAAATGGTCTCGTGACCATTCAAATTTTATATGCTAAAGAAAAAATTTTTTATAAGTATGCAGAAAAGTCAAAAAATTTAGAATTAAAGGGAAAAAAGATTTAATGGTAAATTATGACATACAATTTTTAAATCAATAAAGTTAAAATGTTTTAAAATTTTCTCTCTGTTGGCATGTAGAATTACACACATTTTCCTTTGTTCTGTAATCCTGTGAACATCTAAAATATAAGACTACACCTAATTTCAGACAATTTTATGTATCAAATTCTGCTTTTGAAAATAGCGTTCTTGTAATAGTGATCAATTTTTCATCACAGCTTCTTAATTAATTTCAGTTACCCTACATTATCATTATTAAAAGCTATATCAACGTCACTCACAACAAAAGAATAGAAAAAATTGTTTGCATCTGAAATTTGATTCCAAATTTTTTAAAGTAAATTATATGATGACAATATAGCAAAGATATTTTATTGCAATTATGACAGACACAAAACATTGTCACATTTTAAAAATATTCTTAATAGCTGAATTATTCAAAATCATACACCATCCTGTTTATAAGAATTTGCTGGGTAATTAATTATTTATTTAGCTATTATGGCAAATCATGCAAGAATTATCTGCCAAACAACGTGCTGCCTTCACAGGATGACATTTTAAGGAATTATATAGATTAGATTGGATTAAGCACATGATGGCCATTTGTCCAAAGAGAAGGAAGAATGTTTAGGTAAAGCTGGTTCACATTTCAAATTACAAGAAACCACCTGCAGCCAGCCTATTCATCAACATTTGAATACGAGTCGAACTAACACTATTCCTTGCACATGATCTTATTCACTTAAGGAAAATATTTAAAAAAAAAAAAAAAAAAAAAACTCTGAATATAATTTCATCAAAACTGTTTAATACTTTAAATTAGCCATTTCAAAAATTTTTCACGCATTTAATTCACATTCTTTAACTGCAAATTAACAATTAATTTATTGTAATTTTAATTGTACGTATTTTCTTAAAGTAACTGTCAAAAAAATATTAATTCTCAAAAGTTACATTGAAGTGGGGGAAAAAAATAGTAGTTGCTTATTATTTTAATGCAAAATAACATCACAAAATTTTATACTGCAGATAATTCCATTTGCAATCTCAATAGTGTCTGAAATGTTTTCTGTTAAGAAAGAAGATATTAATTTCAATGCTCATTATTTCATATTTGAGAAAAATTCTAATTAAAAAAAATATGACTAGGTAATGACATGTTTCAAAGAAAATTACATTTTATAGTTAAATACATTTAGATTTATAACATTATGTTTGGATCTAGAAGTAATGAAGTTTCTTTACTTATATATTTAGATTCACACATAAAATTCAAATTACCAAATACTTGTGGGCAAATTTGCTTTCGCATGCTCTTCTGCAACTGCCTAGATACTTAAACTAATAAAAAATATTTTTTGTAACAAAGCTTTCAGTATTTCACATAATATTAAAAATACTGCAAGCACGTAGACATACTATCTACCCATGTTAAACTTATCCCCATAACACTTAAAAAAAACTCAATCCAGTTGCGAAAAGGGATTGTCAGTTTTGGTGAGATGTGTTAAGAACATTTTGCTTTTTAGTATGACCTTGCTACTGTCTTTCATTTTTTTAAATACTAACATAGTACACAAGTAACCAAAAAGGAAGGGAAAATGGATCAGAATGTTTTCAGTAAATGACAAAGAAAAAATTGTTAATATTTACAAGTCTTTGAGACATTCCTTTCTAACCTCAAATGGAATTAAACTTCCTTAAGCTTTCAATAAGTTCTACCATTAGTGAAGGGACTGTACTTGGATCATTTCTGTCTACTTTGTGTTTTACAGAAGTAAAGACATTTTATTTTATGATTATATTGCTCATAAAATACCTATGAAGTAAAAAGTGTAGTTTGAAGACAAATATTGATTCAAGTTATTCACCTGGAATCATTCCACGTAACACTGTATTCTCTGATGATGTAAAAGGTGATTACAAAAGAAAAATGAAAAATATGAATTACCTAACTGATGTAGAGCTCTTCCAATATTATAATATGCCTCTTGACATTCACCTTTTAATTTCAAATAATGAGACAGGAAAACAAATCCCTAAAAATAGCAAAATAATTACGATAATAAATAATTAACAATTTTTATTCAGAAGACATTTTTATACAAATTTTAATATTTTACAAGATACACTAAAAAGTATTTTTAACACTTGGGAAAAAAAAAAAAAAAAAGTTATTTAAATGGAAAGTCTTTCGTATTCTCTTACCTGTACCACAATGAAAAATACTCATTTGAAATAAATTATAATAATTACAGGAGCTTAATATGACATTCAGAATTAAAAATTTAAAAAGACCAATTTTTTTCATATATATATTTACTGGCTTTTCTTGCAAAATATTTTTTTTGTTTCCCAGTTTATTATCTATCTCCCAAAAGATGCTCATTCATCAACATGAGTAACGTGCACCTTTAACCATGGTAAAGCTTTCCATATAGCATTTCATTAAAGCATTTTTTTATTTCTATTCTGTGCCAATAAAAATAATAATTTATTCTTAATACTGAATGTACTGATGGAAAGCCAAAATGTTTTCTTCCTTAACCCTTTCTTTCTGGCACACTGTGACCCAATCTGAGTACACCTAAAAGATTCCCTCTTGTACACACAGAAAAATTGAATGAAAAAGGATTTATAGGTTGCTTTGAACCTTTTTTATTTAGGCATCAAGGTGGCAGCAACGCACAAACCAGTCCATGCATTTTAGCTATGTTTAGTTTTAAAAAACCCTCATTTTCAGATTTTTTTTTTTTTTTTTTTTTGATATAAAATAAATTGTTTGAAAAGAAATTCTATGTTTTTTTCTTGGCTGTATGCTGATCTCTTTATTCTATATACGTTTTAAATTTTTACCTTGAAATCTTGCCTAAAATCGAATGGTGAACATCTGGTGTGCCAGAGCGGGATCATTGAAACACTAGGACCAGATCAACCAACAACTGTATCTTTGCTTCACTGCAGTTCTCCGGTGATCTCATTTACAATAGAAAGGTGGGTCCACATCTGTGTTTCATTTCCTGTTTTTCCTTTTTGTTTTGTTTTGTTTTGTTTTTTGGAGGGGAGGCTTGGTTATTTTTATCAGTTAGCTCTTTGTTTTTCACTACAGTAGTTCTCTTTTTTTTTTTTTTTTTTTTTTTTTTTTTTTTTTTTTTTTTCTTTCGCTTTTGTTGAAAGAAGCTTTGTTAGCTCTATGTTTTGATAGTTTTCAGTTGTAGATGTTTATTTAATTTTATTTTAAAGTTTATATTTTCTTAATTGTAGATATAATATTAGTTTATTTTTTCTGAATTTTAATTATTTTGCAAATGGATCAAAGAGAGCTGACCATTTTTGAAACACTGAGAGTGCTAAACGAATTGCCTTCAGATAGTGAATCTGACACAGATCCCGGTACATACGGAAAACACACAATGTTGGGTTGTGCTATTTAAAACGTGGTGTCACTTGCATTGAAAAGTACCACCATGAATAAAAATAGAGACGAAAGTGTAAATATGAAATGTAAATATCACATAGCCAAGTTAATTTTTTTCATTTATATGCATGCAATCATCATATAACCAAGAGGATGAGTAATGCTAAGTCTGCTATGGTAATCAGAATCTAGTGTTTTTTAATCGTAGGCAGAATCTTTTATTCTATTATGTGCTTCCCAGAAATGCTTGCTTCAGCACTCTTTTCGAAACTATTCATTCAGTGAGCCTGCTTCGAGCACACCCACAGAATTAAAACGGTAAGTGCTATCTTTACAAATTTTACCATTTACTACTCCCATAGGCCTGATTAAACTTTTTTTTTTTTTTTTTTTTTTTGGTTGAAATTCCAAATTTAAAAGGTAGCGTGCTTGGAAAGAGTTAACACATTCACTGCACTGACGTGCTGGTGCATCAGATTTTTGCCACTCTTTATGGAAGCAGCGCTCTGAGACATTGATCAAATATCAAACATTATGTGCTTTATTTTTAGTGTAGTACTGAAAGTTGAATGAAGAGGTTGTTTAGAAGTATTAGTGAAGGATTTTTTTTTTTTTAAATGTGTGTGGTTTTTCAAATTTTGTGCTTGAACTTTGTGTGTTTTTAAAAATGGGGGACGGTACAAGTACAGCAGAAACTTCACAACTGAAGAAAAGGAATGTAAATAATAAAAAAAAAAATTATAATGCCAAAATATTAGAATTATTAATAAAGAATAACCTTTCCAAGCTTTGAGAGCACAGACGATGAAGATTACAGTTGGGATTCTGTGAACAGATAGGAGATGATATTGTGGTGGACATCATAGAAACGTTGGATTCAGACAAAACAACAAAAGACAGCACTTCAACTATTACAGACGATTATGCACAGACAAACCAGTTATTGCGTGAACTGCAATTAAATATTCCATAAGTGATAATGCAGTAATATGATAATGTTTCCTAAACAAATGACATCTCATTTGATATTAATTTATAATTTTTGTATTCTTTTCATGCTTTCTTACTTCACTGATTATGTATTATATCAAATTTGCTACGTTTTAAAATCTTTAAATTTAAACATTCAGCATGTAGGTACATGCATACATTTTATTTTGCTTCAATATTTTGAAATAATAGGAATAATTTAACAGCACCAATATCTGTATTTTGAATTTGTTATTTGAAGAGATCTATATTTTTTCATTAATGCGACTTCTTATTGTCCAATTATACATTTAATTTCTTTTAAATTGTGGTTTTATGCAATATGACAGTAATATCTTAGAATAATGATCACACATGCTACAGCGTCATTCGCGCACGGATGATAGGTTGAACCTGATGTGCTAATGATGCTCTACAGCAGGTGTCAGCAAACTGTCAGCCAAATCCGGCCCGTCATTTGTTTTTAATCTGGCCTGCAGAATGGTATTACTTTCTACATAAAAATAAATAAAATTACATATTATTCTGCAGTGGTTGACAGTTGAGTTTAAAAGTTGTGAATAATAATCATGAATCATACTACTACCATATTCTTGAATTTGTTGTTGCTTTTGAAAGCACTCTCAACAGATGAACGTTTGTGCAATGTATGCCACACAAAGCATGTGGAGTTCTGCTATAGCAATGTGTGTGATATCATCTGTCAAGGTTATCTGCAATACTTTGTTCTTTTTTTATCTATCTTTATCATGTCACTCTCAAAATCAAATAAGAGAAAAAAAAGACCTCAAATACCGTGCTTTTAAAGCAGAATAGAGTGTCAATTATTTTGTCATAGAATTAAAGGAGAAAGACTTATGTTTAATATGCAGTGACATAATAGCTGTGTGAAAAGCATACATATCATCATTTTTAAACTAAGTGCATGACACAGTATTCAATATTCATAAAAAATGAATAATCATTAGAATTGAAAAGTTTAAAACATAATGCAATTTATTCATAAAAATAAAAATGATAATGAAGTCGGCTTAAAAATAGATCATTTATTAGCCACAAAAGAAAAGCCATTTACCGAAGGTGAATTAATTAATTCATGTTTGCTAGCCAAAGAAATATGCCCCAAAAATGTATATTTGTTTCAAATGGTCAGTCTTTGGTAAGAACAACTATTAGAAGACTTGAGGACATTGGAAGCCTCATCAAGAATCAGTTAAAAGACACAGTAAAAAAATTCCCATAGTTTTCATTGGCCACTTTTGCTTCTATGAATAGTCTGTGTGGAACAACCACAGAAGAAGATATATTCAAGGAATTCGAAAAAACACTAACACAATACAATAGCAATGGAATCAGTTAAAATGTGTCACAGCTAATAGTAGAAAAAATATGTGTGGAACTGGGAAAGGTTTAGTTGGACTAAATGTTTAAAACCTTTGGTAATCCTCTGTATTATTCACCAGTAAGCTCTTTGGCAGCATTTTATTCTGTCATGAGTCATTGGACCAGTTGTATCAGTAGTAAACTTCTTTCACTCTCAATGGCTTATTCACTCAAACTATTTACAGTTTTGTGTATTTTTATTAGAGATTGAAGCTGAATATCCTAACTTACCTTGTCAAACAGCTATTTGATGGCTCAGGAATGGGAAAGTTTTGTTGAGATACTTCGAACTGAGAGAAGTCACGGATATTTTTTAAATGAGAAAAATTGCCCACAACCTTTATTATTGAACAATGAATGGTTATTAGAAATTAGCATTTGCCACGGATGTCGTGGGATACATCAATGAATTCATTTTAAAATTACAAAAGGAAACAATGCTCATATGTGAAATGAATTCTATCACAAAGTTTCAAACAACACTACACAAATTTGACCATTTTCCATGCTGTAAAAAATTTCAAATATTAGTGAAACCCTCCATTCCTAAAAACATTTATGCAGGATATATTTTCTGAACTTATACTACAAATAGAAAAGCATTTTGTGGATCTTTATGCAAATGCAAAAGATATTTCCATGTTTTAAAATCCATCAGACTGTATAATTGAGGAGCTTCTACTGAAACTACTGATCTTCACATGAAAGTCATTGATTTGCAAAGTCATGATAAGTAAAGAAAATGATCTAACTCAATTTTATAAATATCTTTCAGAAGATAAATACACTCTAAAAAAATCATATGCATCGGGATAGATATCCATATTCAGAAGTACCTTACCACTCACTGCAAAAAGACATTTTCAAAGATAAAGTATGTAAAATTGCAGTTCAGATCATTATTAACAGACGACCATTTGCAAACAACATACTAATTTTGAACTCAAGTATGATGAAATATTATCTCAGAAAAACAATTACATTCTTTGCTTCTTTGCTTCAAAAATGTTAATCTATTTAATAATAACACTGTTTAACATGTAAATGAAAATATTTTATTCCACTTTTTTTGGGGGGGATAAATGTTATCACTTCACAATGAAAAGAACTTTTTTACTCTATGGGGAAACTATACCCATTCATGTCTTCATATTTGCTACTTGGGCTCCCAAGCCTAAAATTTTTATAATCTATACTATACCCATTCATGTCTTCATATTTGCTACTTGGGCTCCCAAGCCTAAAATTTTTATAATCTCTGGCTTTTTTTCTTAAAATAATTTGCCAACACCTGTTCCAAGAACATTGGAAAAAATATTACACTAAACATGAAAAAAATTTTTTTTTCCATTTTTCTAGTTTTACTAGTAAAATATAAGAAACATTTTTAAGCATTAAAGCACTATTTGTAATCCAACTTCAAAGGATGAAAATATCAGCAGATATGTTAAATTTACCTTCTGGAGATCATACCTATCTTTTTATATGCAGAACCTGATATTTAAAAAAAAATATGCAATAAAATCATGTATTTTAGTGAGTTTAATGACAACAATTTTTTATTGCAATTCATAATATCAGTTTTAAACTTTTTACGTAAAATAATTAAATAACAATTAACCTACAATTAAACCAATATAATCCTAAAATGATAATTAAAAATTAATGTTAAAACTAAACTATTTAGCAATTTGAAATTTTTTATTTTTTATAAGAATATTTTTATAATTACACTCTTGAAACTTTATTTCTTAGAAACAACTACTATATCATCTGTGTTTGTTTCATATTGCTCAACAACAACTTCTCAAATGTATTCTTAATTTCATAAATCTGCAAGTAACCTTTTTGATTAGCACCTCTCTGCTCAAGAGTTTTTCTTAGAATCTGCAATATTCTTCTATATGATTGATGACAGCATGTAATCACTTTCCCTCTCAGTTTGTACCATAGTCAGTTTTTAAACAAGTTGTCTCAATATTGCTGTGAACTGACACATATCCTAAAAATGAATTTCCATAACTTCCCTCAGTGATGTCTGAAATATTAGCTATAGTTTGTAGTGCCTCTAATGCTTCTACATAGAAGCCATGTTTGAAAAATAGCTTTTAACTTATTTTAAGAGACTGACCCATTATCTTGAATACAATATGCATGGCAATAGCAGAGATATCAACTTAGTTACCTCCTTTGAGTTTAATTCAAATTCCTTCGAATTTAATTCTGTTCATCCTTTTTTGAAAACTTTTCTCTGTAATGATATTTAAAAGCCTTTATAATACTCTAAAAAAATAGTAGAAGTTGTATTTACTGGAAGGAAGCTAATGTTTGCCAATAACCAATGCTATCTTCTTAATTGTGAGGTTCCTGTTGCACCTTATTAGTATTGAAATTTATTATTCCTTCAGTTTCTCATATCAGCTGCTTTTTCACTTTTAAATATTAATGTCTTCTGGTAACGTTCCATAATGCAGTCCAGTTTGTCTGTATTATACATTTCATTGCTTTTATTCATTTAGCGGTCCAAGTACAACAATTTTTTATCCAGTTATCAGCTGAACAATGAACTGCTTCTTGTTTCTCACCATACAGTACTTGATGAACAATGCTGGATTTTTCTTTCTTCAGTTTGCAAGCCATCTGCCAATCGATAAAAAGTTCTCTCCAGGCACTTAGTGAATTAGCGAAAAAAGATCTAGAAATTAGAACACATCTTAATTTTATATCTTGAAACCATTCTAGAAAAGCAACTGCAATGTCTCTCTATTTTATTTTTTGTGTTTCTTTGAAATATTTTCAAACTTTTAATAGTTCTTCATTAATTACAATTTCTTGTTTAAGTACACTGCACAATATTGTTTGGGAGATTCCCAATTTAAATGTAGTTTTTCTCTGGCTGCAGTTACCAACAGCATTAAAATCTTTTCACAATTTATCCTTTTCTTTCAGACTTAAGTCCTTTTGCTTGGCATTTTCAACATGCCACAAATTAAGCACACAATGAATTTTAAAAAACGCTTCTTATAATGATTTATTTAAATTTCAAAACTTATATCTCTAACCAATAAAAATTTATCTTTGTCTGCTGAGTCGATCTGCTATTTCATGATTACGAGCATGCTTTTCTTGCTTTTCCTTCAGTCTACAGTTACCACCTCCTTTCCAATCAAAGACAATGTAAGGTAATGCTGAGAAAAATTTTAAATAACTCTCTGTGAACATAATGTATTGCTTCCAAAGGTAAGATTTTGATGTGAAAATCTTAAAAGATGGGATACAGAAATTGCACTTCCACCTCCTTATCACTTGGGATTCAAGAAATAACTCTCCCTAATTTACAATGTTTCTGCTATACAGAACTGGTTTCGTTAACCTTAAGATAAAAAAATTCTCTCACACGTACAACTACTAGGAGTTCAGAAAATTTCAGTGTAACCAGTTTTATTGAACCTGAACAATACATTCACAATCCACAATACATTAAATGGATGAATAAAAAGCTTTGGCAGGTACAATTCTAGCACTAAAAAATCAGTCTTTTTCCAATCTTTGCACTTAATTTTACCTCTCAGTGCAATATTTAGTGCCTTTAATTGTCTTTTTTGTGGAATCTTATCAAGACACTAAATGTTAGATTGTCAGTTATATGAAAACCATCTTTATTCTTGCAAAACAACTTAAAATTTGCTGGACTATCTTATAAGTCTGACTATCTTGAATTCAGACCAGTTATTTCCCAGACAGAATATTCCAAGAAGTTCAATAAACTTGTTATTTCAAAATAAAATTTCTGATAATTTTAAACATGACAGATTTTTTTATTCATCTATAGAACTAGATATATTCCCATGAAAAATATATACACAAATGAATTTTTTTATTTTTTAGTAATGTTGACTTTACTATATGAAGGTCATAGTTTAAATTATTTAATCTGCAATATTGTGATATTAAAGTGATTTGAATGAATTGATAAGGAAACACATAAAAGAAACAAAAAAGTTAATACAGTACAAAGTCCGCAATCTAGACTCATTGGAACTTCAGCGATTCCGGATTAGGGTTTTTTCCGGATTATAGATCATCAATTTAAATCTGGTAATATGGCATGCAGAAATTATACAGTTAAAAATATGAAACTGTAATTTGTGAAATAAAGATCAATTATGATCTAAAGGGTATAAAATTTTACAAAAAAAAAAAAGCTTAATATTTATCTGTTTACTTTATTAAACATTTCTTTCAACTCGCGCATGCGTAATGTATGCGCATTCTTTACACACATGTGTAATGTATGCGCATTTTCTACGCGCATGCGTAAAGTTTGTGGCTTTGAGGTCCGGATTATAGATCATTCCGGATAATGGACGTCCAGATTACAGACTCTGTACTGTACTGCTATTCCTCATTATTGTAAAGATATAATATTATCACAAAATAGCATCTAAACTTCAAATAAATTACTTAAATTTTCATTTTCATTATAAATGATATCATTATTCTCATATCGTGCAAGTTACTTGTGCTAAATAAAAAATCATTTTAAAAAAGGTCTTCCACAATTTTAATCAGTTTTTATACTCAATCATTAAATTTATTGTCTATACACGAAAAGTGCATTACCTGAAGAGCAAGAAAATGGCGCTTAGTGGCAAATTTTTGGCAAGCCATATGTATAAAAGTATAACCAACACAAAATGTTGCAAATGGATCATTTGGTCGTTCCTTGAGAATGCACATATATTCACCTGTTTAAAGTGAAATATTAATTACCTTTTAAAGACAATCACAATTTGATACGAAAATATAAATAATAACATAGGTATTCATGTAATTTATTTTGTAGCTCAAAATACATTACCCAAAGCATGT